TCTGTCACACTGAGGAGTGACATGAATGGGAAATGAAGCTGATGCCCGTTCACCCCACAGTCTGAACCAGTGTCGAGCACTGAGACTGGCGCTAGGCAAACGGAGGCACAGACAAGTAGAGATCAATCGTTGTGTCCTGCTTTTCAATGACAGACAGACAAGGAGGGTGAGAACCATACACCAAAGCTGCAAAATGAGCCAGACTCAGAAAGTTTTTAAATAGTCATTAATAAAAAAACTATGTCATCAGGATTAGAAATCAAAGCAATGCATAACATGTGAAGATATAGATGTTTCTATTCAACTAGTTCCTAAGTACCATATTTTAATAACTGAATAATTCTGTAAATATCTAACTCAGCGTAAGAGCCAGGTCCTCAGACACGGAAGAGGTGAAGAAGGGTTTGGGCAGCAGTGTGGGCCATCAGGTGGCCTTGCTGAATCCAGGATGGGGAGCCTCAGTGGCTGTGAGGCTGACCTGGTCACACTCCATGTGATCGTGTGCACCCCTGCCACTGGAACCGTGTGGGTGCCCTTCTTCCATGTATGCCCGTCCCTGAAAGGGTCAACGTCCTGAGCCCTCTCCCCCTGTGCAGGTGGCCATCGTAGTCAAGTACTTCTTCCAGTTTGGCTTCTTCCCCTGGAACAAGAACGTGGAGCTGTACAAGGACAAGCCCTACCACCCCCCCAACATCATCGGCGTGGAGAAGAAGGAGGGCTACGTTCTGTACGACCTCATCCAGCTCCTGGCTCTCTTCTTCCATCGCTCCATTCTGAAGGTAGGCGTCTAGTCCTACACTGGGCTCAGCCTGCTCACGGAGGCCTCTCGGTGTTCCTGGGGACCTGGGCATCAGGGCAGCCCAGTCATGGAGGACGTGCCTGTGTGTGCTCCTCTGTAAGAATGAGCTGCAGTTGTGTCCATCCGTGGACGTTTCTTCCCAAGCCTGTGACGTTGGTGAGGGAACTTGTAGTAACTCTGGGAGACGTTCTCCCAACACGCCTATCCTGGGTGGGACGTGTCGTGACTGGTCCCGCCGTGGGCCTGGCTTGAGTGGAGTGCCGTGTCTTAAAGCCCGTACCGTACCGTAAATGTCACCCCTCGTTCCAGCTGGACGTTGGAAGGCCTGAGTCTGGTCCGGGGCAGTCTCAGCCACCTCCTGCCGCCGCCTTGTAGCAGCGTTGCTTTTGTTGGGTGGTTTCTTGTCATAGAACGTTCCCCCTGGTGAGCGGCCACTTGACCTGGGAGGAGCACAGCACTGGCCATGTGATTAGGTGCTGAGGAAGCTCTGGCTCCTGGCACGCCCCACAGGCAGGTGCACACCTGCTGGGCCTGCCCTAGCAGCACCTGCTCAGCCCGGCTCCTGCTGCACTCCTCGCTCCTGCCCTGCAGTCCCTGTCCCTGCCTGGAAGCAGAAGCCAGGCCACACAGGAAGTCACCATTGCTGATCACCCCCAGGGCCAGGGACTGCACCCAGGGGTGCTTGACCACGGAGCTACGTCCCCAGCCCTCAGTGTCCGAGCTTCCCTGGCCACCCTCAGTGTCCGAGCCAGACCTGTGGTGGACACACAGACGCCCTGCTCCCGGGACTCCCGCAGGTCCAGCTGGCGAGCTTTCTTGGACCCTCCCTTGGTTTTCTGGTCGCGAGGCACAGGTGCTGCAGGACAGGGAGCCAGCGTCCCTCCTGCAGCTGAGACCTCAGTTGTCACTTTCCTGCTTCCTCAGTGCCATGGCCTGTGGGACGAAGACGACATCGTGGACGGTGGCGACCAGGAGGAGTCGGATGACGAGCGCTCCTTCAGCCACGGCAGGAGGGACTCCTCCGACTCTCTCAAGTCCATCAACCTGGCCGCCTCTGTGGAGTCCGTGCACGTGACCTTCCCCGAGCAGCCCACCACCATCCGGAGGAAACGCTGCGGCAGCAGCCCCCAGATCTCCCCGGGGTCCAGCTTCTCTTCCGATAGGTCCAAAAGAGGTATCTGTCGCGAGGCGGATCCCCCATCCTCCTCTGGTCTAGGTGGGGGTTTGTCAGGTGTTATCAACAAACACCTCGTAATATGAAAAGAGGACTCTGAAATCAGACAGGCCCAAGGTCAAGTCCCCCCCTCCGCAGCTGTGTGACCTCATTGCCCAGAGCATCTGACTCCTCCCAGGAACAAGGACTTCAGATAGCTGTGACCAGAGGCCAGCACTCTGCCTGATACCCAGGACGTGTCAGGCACCTGATCATTCGTGCCTCGTACATACAAATGCCTCTGAGCACGTCTAGGGTGCCAGGAGGGAGCCAGGAACCACAGCCTGTTGTGAAGTTGTGTTTGTGTTCTCTCAATGGGGACTTTTAGCAACACACTCCTGGAGGAGCCAGGCCTCTGTGCCCGGGGCTCATGTCTGCAGCTCGGTGTGATGATCTGCAGAGTCTGCACCATCTGGCAGATGGGTCATATTTGTTTTACATTTGGAGAAATTAGGATTTGAAAAAGGGTATGAGTTAGGGTTTCCATCTGGAAAAAACCCAACCTGGGACTCTAGTTGGCACAATAACCACTGTCCGTCCAATGTGTTTCCTCCTGGGACAGAGATTAAACAGCTATCCCAGGAAGAGCCATGGATCTTCCTTAGCATGGAAGCAGGGGTAAGAGGGCAGGCTCCTACCTGCCCAGTTGTGTTCATGAGGCAACTGTGTATATCCCTTCCTCAGGACAACTGGAGCCACCCCTCCTACACATGGGCTCCGGGGCCTTCTGTGACACTCCTGTTGACAAGCCGGTTCTTCACACTCCATTGGTGGTTCCTTTCATTCCTTGTTCTCTCTAGGCAGCACCAGCACCCGGAACAGCAGCCAAAAGGGCAGCAGCGTTTTGAGTATTAAGCAAAAAAGCAAAAGGGAACTCTACATGGAGAAGCTTCAGGAACAGCTCGTCAAAGCCAAAGCGTTCACCATAAAAAAGTGAGTACCCAAAACCAGCGGGGTGCACGTGCTTTGCTTGAGGGCAGGAGCTGTGTGCTCTCTTCCTGCAACTCAGGAAGCCCAGGAGCTGAGGAGGGACCTCTCCCACGGGATGGGATGACGGTGGCCGTGCTCGAGCAGTCTTTTCTCGGTGAGGGTGGCTCCTTTCCGTGTGTGGCACTGGTACCCACGCTTTTTCTATTTAGACAGAATAGGTGGGTGACTTCAAGGGCTCATGGTGCCCACTCGCAGCCGCGATCATGCCACCCAGCCGTGCAGAGAGGGATGTGATCTTAGGGCTGGAGGGGCTGCAGAGACACACTGCGGGGAGGCGGCTTGGTCAACACCGTCGGTGTCAAACAGCTGGTCCCCCAGACTGCATAGGTCCCTCCTGCCCACTGTGGGTGCAGGGGTTAGTGTCCACAAGCAGCCATGGCTGGAAGCGAGCAAGGGGCCAGCTGCACACAGGCCCCGAGAGCAGGACGCCAGCTGCACCTGCGTGTGACCTCGCATTGAAGGCAGAGCCAGGGCACAGTGCACCCAGGGCAGAACTCGGGAGACCAGCCAGAGTGAGGGCACCAGCCAGGTGGAGAGGCCTAGGCAGTGCCTGGGAGCCAGGGCAGGCACAGGGCCCTGCACTGAAGGGGCTCCTAACGGGCAGAGGTGGCAGGCCTGGCACTGCCATCGGCATGCCCCCTATGTTCCCGTAGCAAGCCCCACCCTGGCGCCAGGTCTGACTGTTGCACCAGTTTACAGAGCGTCACGCAGCCCGTCCAAGACAGTGGGCAGCCACAAACCCATCCCCACTTCCCTGGGCTTCATGCCTCTCACGTGCTCCAAACAGGAGAAGGTCGTGGGCCACCAGCAGAAAGAGCTGCCCACACCTGGCGGAGAGCTCACTGCTCCTGTGTGGCCAGAAGTGCCACCAGCCCAGGCAGCAGGGCGGGACCGGTTGGAAGAGGGAGCGCAGAGGAGCCGGATGATGGCGGTCTCCGCTCCCTCTCCCCTCCGGACCTCCTGGAACAGTGGGGTGGGGTCTCTGTTGTGCAGGACGCTGCAGATCTATGTGCCCATCCGGCAGTTCTTCTACGACCTCATCCACCCGGACTACAGCGCAGTGACCGACGTGTACGTGCTCATGTTCCTGGCCGACACCGTGGACTTCATCATCATCGTCTTCGGCTTCTGGGCCTTCGGGGTAGGTTGGGGACAAAGGACTCTGGGTGCCACCAACTGTGAGCTGTGGCTTTCCATCCCGTGAAATGCCACCTGTCGTCTTTCCCCAGAAACACTCGGCTGCTGCGGACATCACCTCTTCGCTCTCGGAAGACCAGGTCCCCGGGCCGTTTTTGGTGATGGTCCTCATTCAGTTTGGAACGATGGTGGTGGACCGAGCCCTCTACCTCCGGAAGACGGTGCTGGGCAAGGTCGTTTTCCAGGTCATTCTTGTGTTTGGAATTCACTTCTGGATGTTCTTCATCCTCCCTGTCGTGACCGAGAGGTGAGATTTGGAAGCTGGCCGTGTGGCCCATCCTCCACGACAAGGTCACCACGGCCCATGCGCTGGCCCACCAGCTGCAGGCAGAGGAGGGCAGGGTAGCACCAGGGGTGTGAAAGTCACAGTTTGGAGTCTGCTAATGGTGGTGCAAGCCCCCAGTGGGAATGGAAAACTCCACGGTATTTGACTGTACTTTATCCACATCCACAGAAGCAGGGTGCTCAGAGTAAGTGTCGGCCTCAGCCATCGGGCAGGTGGGGGTCCTTGTGCTGGTCTGGCTGTACACCCTGAAGCCGAGAGGAACTGGAGCGTGGTCTCGGAGCGCTCCTCAGGAGGCCAGAGGGCAGGAGATGTAGTCATCAGAGGCGTGAGGGAAGGAGTGGAGGCTGTTGAGCTGGTTGAATACACTGGCCCCTGGGAGGCCGATGGTGCCTGCCCACCCCACAGTGGAGAGTGAAATAGCCTGAGGCAGGGAAAGCACCTGAAGAGTCTTGGCACTGGGTGGGAAGTGGGAGGGGCACTGCCCCAAGACCCTGCCGCCTAGCACAGCTATTGCTGTGGGTTAGAATGAGGTGGGGGTCGGGCAAGGGAGGGGCCAAGCAGCCTGGTGCAGAGGGAAGGGGCTGCGGAGACACCTGAGGTGGCCACTGCCCATCCCTACACTGGCCTTCACCCCACTGTGCTGGGCCCCACACCTCAGTTCTGCTGCGCCCTTCTTCCCTCTGCCTGGACCCTGTCCTGCTCTCAGACTGCAGTCTAGGTGTCCCTGCCACCTTCCACCAGGGTCAGTACTTGTGACAAAGGTGGCACTTTTAATGCACGAGCCAAGGAGAGGCTCGGGCCGTCTAGGAGAGCTACGCAGACTGCTCCGAGCAGAATGTCAGCTGCCAGGTCCTGGAGGGCTCAGCCCACAGAGCGCCACGTAACAAGCTGCTCTTCCCCAGGAGCACCCCGGCCTCACAGATGAAAGCCAGCAGGTGCTCCCCTGCCTGGGGCCCAGGGAGCCACATCCGACCCAGGGGCAGGGCCAGCCTCGAGGGTATGCTCTCCCAGAAGGCTTGCAGCATCAGCCACAGGGCACTGTGGAGAAGACCTCAGGGGACAGTACCACTGTGACTGCATCTCAGGATCCTCAGCGTGTCACCCAGGCTGGCTAATTATGCTTTTGGAAGTGGGAATAGAAGCAATGGGAAATGACTTCACCCCTGTGGCTTCCAGTTAACCTGTGCAGCTGCTGCTGAGGTCCCCACGTTGCTCCAGCAGGGGGGACTTGGTGGCTGCAAGGTGGAAGACCGCAGGCTCTGGCCTGTGGTGTTCAGTGCCATGAGATCTGCTGCTTTGTAACAGTGAATGGTGGCGGGGAAGTGTTTTAAAAGGAATGAGGACAGCTCTTCCTGAGCCTCAGGTAGAACTGCACAAACAGAGCGTTATTACCCAGAAGACGCCCCGTAGCCCTGACATCTCCACTGCACCCCACGGAGCGGGGGCCACGCAGCTTGGTCATGAGCATGATGAGATCGAAGCCATTGGTCGACTTTGTGCAGCGAGGAGAACCTTTGTGACAAAGCTGTGACTCCAACTGCTTGCTTTAAAATGAGTAGATTTTCTCTACAAACACATGGTCACCTCTGACCCGAGGTCAGAGAAGTAAGCCACATCCAACACCCAAGGTGGCCGATGATGAGCTTTGAGATCTGCTGGTGTTTAAAACCATCACACAGGCAGGGTCTTCCAGGCCTCCAGGAACCCTTAGTTCTGCAGAAGAAAGAGGCTCAGGAGTTCGCTCAGCCTCCCTCCTCTACAGACCCCACAGGAGGAGTGCCTCCCAGTGCCCTTCAGCTCCTGGAGACCTCAGGCCCCACCCCAGACCCTGGAGCCGTAGCTGTGCATTGTCCACCATGGCCCCCTGCCCCCATAGGATGTCCTGTCCTCCCTTCCCAGAGTGTTTGGAGCCACCCAGCCTCTCTGCATTCTACATCTTGAAAAGGTCCAATTATCCCACAACCCGCAAAGCAGACCAGGGCCAGAGACTGGCTCCTGCCACCTCCCTGCCACTTCCCCTCCAGGGACACGGCTTAATGTGGCTGCCCCCACGGCTGCTCCAGCACCGTGTCTTCGTCTCCTCGGCGTGGTCCTCCTGGCTGGGCAGGATAACACAGGCACAGGCATCAGGATGCACAGGCCTCTGGGGACCAGGGTTCTGTCTGCCACTCGCTCCACCAGGCTTTGAAGAGAGCACGAGAAGCCACCCTTTCCAACCCGATACAGCTGGAATACCCCCAAAATACAGGGGTGACGTAGATGTCTCCCATGTGCTCATTTACTTATGACCCATAAAACAGTTACTCCTGCATCCTCGGACAGATGTTAAACCACACATGGTCGTTGAAAGTGGACCATCGGTCTCCTAAATCCTGACCCCTTAACTGTGTGCAGGGTGCCCCTGCACTGTCTTCATCCCGCCCCTGCGCTGCGCCGCTGGCCCTTCCTCCCCTTCCCGTGGCTGATGGAGCAGCAGGACTGTGTCTCCGGGGCCCCTCCCTGCCTCAGGTCTGGGAACTGACCTCCCTCCGCACCTGCCGGCTTTGTCTCCTGTCCCTTCTGGTAAATCTCGACAACCTGTGGCCAAGCATCGCCCTCCATCTCTCTGCTCCCAGCCTCTGGGGATGGTCCTGCAGGGGCTCTGGTGTGTCTGTAGGTGACCACCATCTGTGGAAGAGTCGAGTCAGGCAGTTGCATGTGAGGAAATACATTCAGGCATTGAGAGGAAGTGTTAGAAACTCAGGGCAAGTTTGGACAGAGTACATTTTTTTCTATTGAATCAGATTTAAGAATGAGATTTTCTTTTCTATGTCTGTCTCAAGTTTTTGCTTGTTACATTCTATGAAAGTCTTGATCCACTACACTTGGGAAATTTAAAAAGATAAAATAAACCAACTGATGGGTGTGGGCGTGGTGGCACATGCCTATAATCCCAGTGACTCCAGAGGCTGAGGCAGGAGGATCGCAAGTTCAAGGCCAGCCTCAGCAACTTAATGAGGCCCTAAGTAACTAAGTGAGACCGTCTCAAAACTTTTTAAAAATTAATTTAATTTAAAAAAACAATTAACCCTCTATTGGGGAGGGAAGAAAGACACACCCACTTCTTCCATGGTAGATGCTCAATCCATGGCTTGATGACTGCATGAATCAGATCTCTAGGGTGACCTACGACCAAGCACATCACATTCAGTTTCACGCTCCTTGGGAGCTGCCATGTCCAGGGCAGCAGTGGAGGAAGAAAGGGCATGTTATCGGAGGCTGGCCCACGTCCCAGGGGACGCTACACCACAGGTCCCAGGCACCTTGCAAGGCCTGCTGGAACGCTACCATGGAGCCTCACCCTGTGGCCACTCCTGGTGGAACTGCCCATCTGTCTTCGGTTTCTGATACTTAACATAGGGTGTCCCAGGACCTGCGAGCCTCTGTCTTCACTACCACCCGTGGCTAATACCATTTCTGGACATTTCACACTCTGCCACTGTTAGATTTCAACATCCAAAATGCATTTTTCCTCCTCCACACGTTGCCACTGAGCAGATACCTGGGGGAGGATGGGCGTACCCAGCCACTCTGCAGATGGCTCAGAGCTCTCTGAGGTCCCCAACCTGCCCACACTGTGACCTGACAGTCCCCCATGTGAAGTGCAGACCTAGGTCCACACAGACGCACACACCAATGTCCACAGCAGCTTCCAAGATCACCAACATCAGGGAGGAGGCCAGAGGCCCAGTGGGCAGTGGAGGGAAAGCGACCTGGCGTGCACAGTGGGAGGACACAGCCTGACAGCCTGGCAGGATCTCGGAGTAATCCTGCTGAGGGAAGAGGCCGGCAGAAGGGACATTGCTGTGTGTGCCTGGACACCACGTTCAGAGAACTCCAGTCCACCTGCAGGGAGAGGGCGCAGAGCAGGGGTGGCTGTGTGTGGGTGAAAAAAGGGAGAGAAGAAGGCGCACAGAAGGCCCTGGAAGGCTTCAGAGGTGGGGGTGCTGGGTACTGCCCAAGCCCTCTGCTGTGCAAGCCCTCTGGCTGCTGTGCAGATGTCGATGCATAGCAAGCTTCTTCCTTCCGTCTGTGCCACTTATATCCTAACAAAGCTGTTGGAAGAAAGAAGCTCTTCAAAGTCGGAGTTTACACGCAGACTTTTTTCTAAGTTTCTTTTGGTGTGTGGTGTGGGAGGACCACGCATGTGCGTGGAGACCAAGACGGGACCCAACGGGAGCCCTTTGAATCTCACCACGACCTTCCTTCCAAAGAGGAAAGTCAGGCATATTTTTCTCATTAAACGTGAAGAAACTAGACTCAAAGAGAATCAGCAGCTGGTCAGGGTTCCGTCACTAGCAGGTGCAGATGCGTCTGCTGTTTGCCTTTCTGTCATCACCGTCGTCATCACCATCCTCTCTGTTGGCTTACTGTTTGGGAGGCTGGGGCTTGAACCCAGGGCTTCACACATGCTGCGCACAGGCTCTCCCACTGAACTGCATCCCCAGCTCTCACGGAGGTTTATTAAACTAAGAAATAGGCTCCCGACGGCCCAGCGGGAGGCAGTCAGGACAGATGCGTCCCATCTACAAGCCCGTCCCGAGGTCATCGAGAGACACCCTCAGGGTCTGCGCAGTGCCTTGGAGGATGCTGGTTCCATATTTATCACCCTCACACCCCCTAACAGCGTCTCGGGAAGTCAGGACTGCGGAGGGGATTCACGTGGCCGCCTTCGGCCCTCTTCGGGGAAACCCGAGAGGAAGAGGGCTGAGCAGTAGCTGGCTTCCGCTTTTGACAGGAAGCAAAGCCTCTCCCCAGCTTGTCCTGATTGCAACAAGTGGCCCACAAGGCCCATCAGGGACAGCCACTAACCAGATGTCCTGGAGACCCCACCCTGAGGTCCTGTGGATGTGGCTGGCCAGAGCTCAGGTGCAGGCCCACATCTCGGTCCAGCCAGAACCACGGTCCAGGAGGCCTGCCCGTGCACCCATGACCGTGTCAGGGAGGTGGGTTAAAAAATAAAAATTAAAAAAAAATGAGGCTCCACTTCTCAGAATCCTTCTCCTACATTTTCCAAATTATAGGTCTTCTTAAAACCTGGAGTTATTTAAAAATATGCATTTTTTTCTTTCCTGAGCTCTAATTTGGCCCCTGCCAGCTGTGTGGGCCCATTGTAAGGAAACGTCCTTAGTAGACTCACTTGGTAGTGATTTAGTTTAATTGTGACCTAAACAACTGAGAAATGAGGGTGGGAGGGTCCTTCCCTGGAAACCTTTTAAGCTATTAAGTTTTCTTACCCTACCTTTTGCCTTTGAAGTGCTCTGCTGTGTATGAAGAATTGCTTAAAACTGCCTTTAACTGACAGAGAAATCAGGTCCTTGTTTGTTTATTTGTTACCAGGGATTGAACCCAGGGGCACTTAACCACTGAGCCACATCCCCGGCCCTTTTTATGTTTTATTTTGAGACAGTGTCTTGCTACGTTGCTTAGGACCTCCCTTAGTTGCTGAGGTTGACTTTGAACTTGCCATCCTCCTGCCTCAGCCTTCTGAGCAGCTAGACTTATAGGCATGAGGTAGGGCGCCCAGCTAGGTTCTTGGTTTTTGATTTGTGTTTTTATTCTAAACAAGTGTCTTTTGTACCAGAAAATTATTATCTTCCTTCACCTTCCCCATGTTCACGTTCCAGGAAGTTCAGCCAGAACCTGGTGGCCCAGCTGTGGTACTTCGTGAAGTGCGTTTACTTCGGGCTGTCCGCCTACCAGATCCGCTGTGGCTACCCAACGCGCGTGCTGGGGAACTTCCTCACCAAGAGCTACAACTACGTCAACCTGTTCCTGTTCCAAGGGTGAGAGCACCACGTCATCGTCTGGTCGTTGGGGGGCCAGGGCTGCAGTGCAAAGACCCTGAGCGTCCCAGCTGGGATGGGGGTGGAGTGCCGACTGGCCCTCGGCCTGCCGCACGGGGAGGACTGCATTCCACCTCGGGTCTCTCCCAAGGGTCCCAGGAGAGTTGTAGGCTCAGGAGCCTCTGCATGAGCACCCGGACTGGGGGACGTGGGCCCCGCGTGGTCTCTAACGGGAGCTTCTGGCAGGTTCCGCCTCGTCCCCTTCCTGACCGAGCTGAGGGCAGTGATGGACTGGGTGTGGACGGACACCACACTGAGCCTGTCCAGCTGGATCTGCGTGGAGGACATCTACGCCCATATCTTCATCCTCAAGTGCTGGCGAGAGTCGGAGAAGGTGAGGGCCCATGCGGGCACCATGGTGTCCTCGTCCCTCAGAGGGGTGGCCTGCAGGACCAGCTGGGGCCTGGGGGTGTGGTGAACCAAGGGAGGTGGGCCGCTCACCTGGTCCCCACCACCGCAGTCGGGTGGGCCACTTGTCAGGGATAGCACCCAGATGTCCTCGATGGCCACAGGACTTTGCAGGTCTATTTTTAAAAGAAGAGGCATTGGATGGCTGTAGGACCAGTCACTCCTGAATGCTCCTCTGGAGCAGAGGGAGCACATGCAGGGAAGGGTGGGGCACTTGGCGGGGGCTCATGTCCACCTTCCATCCACTCTTTGGAGGGAAGGACAATTTAACCTCTTTCTGCAAAGGGAAAAGGTTGAATATCTGAAGTGCAAATATTTGCTTATTCTGCTAGATTGAGTATTAAAGTTTAAAATATAGATTAAAATTACTATTATTTGTTGGATTTTTCAAAAGTTCAGGAAATGAAAAAAGAAGTGCTTGCATGATAGCAATGGAAACACCCACTGATGTTAGCCAGGGGAGGAAACGTCTGTCTGTCTGATCTCAAAAATATCCTCTTAGGAAAGGTCTCCTCCAAGGTAAAGGTTTCCAGTGCATGCTGCAGCTTACTCTGGGGACTTCGGCTCCGTTGACAGTGCTGTATGGCCCCTGGGTTTACAGGGGTGAGGAATTGAAGGGAACGGCTCTGTGCTTAAAATCATATCAGCTTGTTCTTGTTTTCAAGGAGCATAAGAATTGAGATGACAAAATGCCTTGGTCTGTTTCCTAATGCTGAAACACAACAGCTGAGACTGGATAATTTTATAAAGGAAAGAGGTTGGCTTTGGTTCATAGTTCTGGAGGACAGGAGGGTGCTGGCATCTGCTTGGTTTTTGGTGAGAGCTTTACACTGCGCTGTTCATGGCAGAAAATCAGAAAGGCAGGCAGGCATGTGTGGAAGAAAGGAAAGAGGGGTTGGACCCTAATAATAACTAACCTATTCCCACAAGAAAAACATTGACCCCTGGAGAGGGCGGGCCCCTGGTGTGCCCAGGTCCTCATAAACTCCCCACCAGCTCTCGGTGCTGTTAGGCTGGAGACCAAGCCTCACCACAAGGCTTTGTGAGGACGCACCACATCCAAGTCATACCAGAAGGATGTTGAGGGTCAAGACCAGGTGACTTGGGGTCTAGAACCTTGACATGGGAGGAGGAGGATTACATGGTTCCAAAATGGGAAAATATGAGAGGAAAGCAGATCTTTGTGTATCCGTCAGGTTTCCATCGCTGTAACCCAGTGCCTGAGATGAATCCTTATACATAGGAAAGGTTCGTCTCGACTCACAGTTTGGGAGGTGTCAGTCCATGACCACTGCCCTGTCGGTTGCTTTGGGCCTTTGGCAGCAGGAACATGTGGCAGAGGAGGCCTGCTCCTCGAGGTGTCTGGAAAGTGAAAGAGAAGAGACCTGGACCCCACGGTCCCTTCAGGACACCGCCCAGGACCTGCGTCTCCCACAAGTCCTGTCTCTCAGCCATCTCAACACCTCCCTTAGCACCATGCTGGAGTCGAAGCCCCTCAGGGTCCTTTCACGTCTGAGCTGTAGGACTTCAGCTCTGGGGTGGTCATTCAGCAGATGGAGGGTCAGTGTCCTCACTGCCAACCGACTCCCTCAGCTCTTGGTGGTTCAGACACGGCAACCGTTGTCCTTCTGCAGCTCAGCGTTTTGGCTGGGCTCAACTGGACATCTGCCTGGGGTCATTCACCCAGTGACCCAGTGGGGGCTGGAGGTCACGTAGGGTCTCACACAGAGGCTTGGAGTCAGGGTCTGGCTCTCGACACAGGGCCTTCCTCTCTGAAGGTACAGAGGTCCCCGGGTGGTATCTGCAGGGACTGGTTCCAGAATCTGGGATCCCAGCTCCACGTGTCCAGCTCTTCATCTACAGTGGCTCAGGATTTGCATGTAGCCTACAGGCCTCTCCCCAGGTGCCTAAGTCATCTCCAGGTCACACACAGCACCTAGCCCACCCTCAGTGCTCACCAGAGCTATGCTGTGCTGTGCTGTCCAGGGAACAAGGACCAGAGAATCTGTCCTGCACCAGTGCAGGTTTCCCAAACACAACTGCCCAGGTTGGCTACACCCCCGGGGGAGCCCATGGCCCTCACGCTGGCTCCTGTCCAGGGCAGTGAGGGAGGTGCAGAGCCTGCTGGGCCAGGCTCGGGATGTCCCCACCCTCACTGCCATGGCATCCTGCTGCCACACAGGCTCGAAGGCAACCTAGGGTCCAGGGGATGGTCAACTGATAGGACCAGCCAAGGCCAAGGGCCTGCACACAGGACGACTGAAATGTAATTTTTATTTCTTTTTGGTGTAATCAACCAAAAACTGAATTGCTAGCTAGATGCTGTGTTCCTGGACCTCTGCTGGGCATGGCGACGTGGGGAGGCCAGGCCAGGCCAGCCCCACAGTCAGGCTTTGACGGTCCACAGAGGCAGCACATGCAGCCCAGGCCACAGACTGGTGCGTGACACTCTGTGACCAAGGTGGAGCTCCTCCAGGGCGTCATGGTGGGACCTGGGAAAGGGAAGGCATCGCCACAGGTGTGAGCTCCTGCAGGGGCCTGGGGTGGCCGGTGCCAGGGAGTGTCTGCGCCTCTTTCTTTCTGTTCTTGCCCGGGCTTGTCTCCCGTCCTCCGCTGGCCCAGGGGCCTGGGGTTGGCGCTTCTCCTCTCTGGGTTCCCAGGTGAGGCCTTGGCCTGCTCCCTGGCTGTCTGCCGCAGCCCTTCGGCCTCTCAGGCTACAGGTGCCAGAGTGGACCCCTCTTTCTCAGGGGCCTTCCCTGACCGCCCCCCAGTCTGGACCACAAGGCCCACCCAGTCCTCACCACATTGAGTCGATTGCCCCTTTAGTTTTATATGAGCTCTGTGATAAGATTAGCACCACACACCCCGAAGCAAGAGCAGCTTCCTGAAGGCCAAACGCTGGCCTGAGCACGTGCAAGGCAGCCATGCCCTGCTCAGTCTGCCTAGTGAGTCCCACCCAGCACCTCCCAAGACTCTGCAGGAGGCCAATCAGAAATGCAATGAAACAGGAAAGGCGGAAACACGGTCAAGAGCTGAGCCATGCAGGGCCAGCAGGAGGGGCCAGCAGGAAGAGGGGCAGGAGCGGGGCGGGGTCTGGGAACTTCTGAGATGAGCCTCAGAGACACTGGCCTTCAGCAGAGATGACATGGTCCCACTCAGGCAGGAGAGACCTAAACTGTCCCTGGCAAATAAAAGCTAAATCTCCTTCAACTCACAAAACTCTTCAGGACAGGAGGACAGAGCTCTGATGGACTGGGACCGGTGGTTGCTTCTCCAAACTTGCCTCCCTGAGAAATCTGCTTGTTACGTGCACACACCTGTCCATATATGTGTAACATGTTTCCAACTTTCAACTTTCACATATTAACTTCTAGCTTTGCTTTCAAAATTATAAGTTAGAAATAGGAAAGAAATAGGAAACTATGGTCGGCAGAATCACCCCCCACTGCTGCCCTCTGCGCCCCCACAGCTCCCCTGGCTCAGGATCCTTTAGGACGCTCCCTCCCGTGTGCTGAGTGGTGGTCCTGCACAGGCCCCTCCTGCTCTCAGGAGCTTCCCCAGAGTCACCGAGCACCCAGCACTGCAGCCGGGCCCTGTGCGGGCGCCCAGCCCCTCCGGATTGCAGCCTAGAGCGCAGTGCCCCCCGTGGGAGGGAATCCTCTTCCCTTGGCCTGTGGGAGTGACGGATTCCTCCCAAGGGAATGTGAGCCCAGGGTAAGTCACTTGGCCAGGTGAAGGGGTGGGGGTGACCCCATGCCGTGTGGCACCTGTCTTGGTCTGTTTTCTGTGGCTAATAACACAGTACCACAGACTGGGTGATTGTAAAGGGAAGAGGTGTGGGGCTCAGGATTCTGGACCAGGGTTTTAGGGCTATATCTGGTGATGGCCTTCTTGCTGGCAGAGTCCCAAGGATGAGCAGGGCATCACGAGGCCGGAGTCAGGGAATGCACCAGAGACCCAGCCGGAAGGGCTCTTAGGGAAGCTAACCCTTAAGACAGCCCTCGTTCCCAAGTGGGTGAGTCCACACAGGGAGGCAGCGCCCAGGTCACTCCAAAGGTCCCACCTCTTAGGAGCTCCTACTGGGGACTGGATTTGTGACCTACTGGTCCCTAGATTCATCATGTGGCTGCCTTTGAAGGTTCATGGTTGGCCCTGAGTGGCCCCACCGTGGGAGCAGGTAGGGAGCTCAGGGCAGCTTCCTTCCCGTCACTGCTTTTACCTCCGTATCTGCATGTTGATTTAACATTTGCAACAAAAGAGTTAGGCGTATTGGCCAAATAATCTTGTTACTTCATGTGCCTGAACCAGTATGAAACATCAAGTCCCATCATTGTGTGCAACACAGGCCCATAGATAAAAAACATCCAAAGAGAAAAAAAGAATTAGCTGATCAAGGTGGGAATCTCAATCTACCTGAGTAACAAGGCTCCGTGATCTCTGCAAGGTTCCCACCTCAGCAAGCAGAGAAGAGCCAGGGCTGACTCCACAGTTCCCAGCTCCCACCCTGGTCAAGGCCATCTGCCCAACCTCTGAACTCTTGTGTTGCAGAGATACCCGCAGCCCCGGGGCCAGAAGAAGAAGAAGGTGGTCAAGTACGGCATGGGCGGCATGATCATCGTCCTGCTCATCTGCATCGTGTGGTTCCCTCTGCTCTTCATGTCTCTGATCAAATCTGTCGCTGGGGTCATCAACCAGCCCCTGGATGTGTCGGTCACAATTACCCTGGGCGGGTATCAGGTAACCTGGGTCTCACCGACCACTGGAGCAATCTTTCAGGAGGACCTAGAGGGGACGTCTAGTGACGTTTTGTCAGTCCAGATGTCCCCAGCACTGTGACATATACAAAATAAGGAGCAGCAGTCTGAAAGGATAGCTCTGCTGGGGTTGTGAGCAGGGGAATGAACAGGTGGCAAGGCACTCTCTGCAGCCAGTCCCTGGGGCCGTCATGGCTGAGTCTGGGCCCAGGACACAGGCGGGGCTGGGCAGGAGCAAGCTCTCATCTTTGTTTTCCAGCCCATCTTCACCATGAGCGCCCAACAGAGCCAGCTGAAGGTCATGGACCAGACGAAGTTTAATAAATTTATGAGAGCTTTCTCTAGGGACACTGTAAGTAAATGTGCACGTGTGGGTTCCGCCAAGGCCCTCGTCCTGGGCTGCCCTGCAACGGACCACCTGGCCATGGTCCACAGGGGGGAGAGGGCGGCTTTTCCAGGGTTCCCTGTCATGAACAGCTGATTCCTGGCCGCTGGCTACTTTGAGAAGCCAAGGAGTTATGTCTAGGCTATTGAACCTGAGTGCTTATAAACATAAATTGAATTCAGGACATTTTAATTCAAGCTCCACAGATATTGATTCATTTTTTTTAAAAATTGACATTTTAAATTTGTTGTATATGGATCTTTTGACCAGGAGGTCTACCCTGGGAATCTCTCCTAAGAAAGTAATTCAGAACACGGGGAGTCTACGCAGGTGCTTGCTTAAGAATGCATCATCTGCGTTAGTTGAAACTGGAAGCAGTTTGAGAGCTGAGTATGTAGAGGCTCATGGAGGAAGTTAACGGCAGATGTACTAAGTGAACCTGGGTCCACTCCAGTGGCCATGCTGCAAGAGGGGACTCCCACTCTTACTTTATTCATATGTTTTGTAGTCTTAATATTTTTCAGCCAATTTCTTTTGTAATAAAACAATAATCTTTGTAATCCCAGCGGCTTGGGAGGCTGAGGCAGGAGGATTATAAGTTCAAAGCCAGCCTCAGCAACAGCGGGGTGCTAAGCAACTCAGTGAGACCCTGTCTCTAAATAAAATACAAAATAGGACTGGGGAGGTGGCTCAGTGGTCAAATCCGCAGTACCCCCGCAAACAAAAAACACAAAATAATAATCATCACAGAGACTATAAGAGGCATGATGATTTCTCAAGTTTAAACATAAATGAAAACAAGATATAGACTCTTATTTTTCTAAACCAAAAAAGGATAAGAAATATATCCCCTACCACATAAAACAATGACCACGTTCTAGGGACAGAGCTGTGACTGATGTCATTCTTTTCTCTGTATTCCTCACTGTTAATAATACGACAACATGATTCCCATTATCACACTTGGTTTTACAGATCTTGTGTTTAATTAAGAAAGTGGTTAGGCCAACAGATGCTTTATTCTTGTTCAGAATGGTCACCAGCCAAGGCACACTATCAAAAATGACCTTGAGCCCGGCATGGTGGCACACACCTGTGATCCCAACTGCTCAGGAGGCTGAGGCAGGAGGATCCCAAGTTCAAAGCCAGCCTCAGCAACTCAGTGTGATCCTTTCTCTAAATAAAACACAGGGAAAAAAGGGCTGGGGCGTGGCTCAGTGGTTAAGCGCCCCGAGCCTTTGGTACTGGTTCAGTTCCCAGTACCAAAAAAGATGATCTTAAGCAACAAGCAGCTCTCAGGTCAAGGCCAGGATGTCCTGGGGAGATCTTGTTCCTCATGAGAGGAGCACTCCCCCGTCATTGAGGAATCTCTTTCTTAGTGGAGAGAAACGCTGAATTATCTGGTTTTCATTTACTGTTTAATTGGGAAGATCCCAGAGCTGTGTTGTGGTCGGGACACCACCCTGGGCCTGGGCCACGTGCCTGAGAGCCACCCACCCCTGAGGTCAGCAGACACAGAGCATCAGGACTCCCTGGCCTGGGCTTTTGTGAACGTCCCTTTCCCAGGCAGGGTCCCTTCCGCACAGCCAGCTAGAAGGAAAGCGACTGGTTTCTCACACAGCATGGTGCACGTGACCTCTTTGTGCTTGTGCCTTTGTGGTGTACAGGGTGCTATGCAATTTCTGGAAAATTATGAAAAAGAAGACATAACAGTAGCAGAACTGGAAGGAAACTCAAATTCTTTGTGGACCATCAGCCCTCCCAGTAAGCAGAAAATGATAAGCGAACTCAAGGATCTCAGTAGTAGCTTCTCTGTTGTGTTTTCATGGAGTATCCAGAGGTAGTTACTGTGTTTCCATGCATCCTCCCTTCTATCTGGACTCGGGTGGGCTGGGCAGGAGAGGAGCTAGAGGTGGACGGGCGCCTGGCTCTGTGTCCTTCTGTGCCACTGACCTTTCAAGAATGTCTGTGCTTCCCTTTGGTTTTGCTTGTTCTCTCCCTGACATCAGTTTGCCAAGACAGACTGTCAGTGAGTTCTATGAGCCAGAGGCAGGAGGAGGGAGCAAGAAAGGGAGTGATGGCCTCCAAGCTGAGGCAGCCCCGGTGAACTGTCACACTGTCACCGAGGGGCACCCAGTGAACTGTCAGACTGCCATGGAGCCGCCCTTGGTCTTAGCAGTGGAGAAGCCACAGCCCCTGGCAGCGTGGGCAACCCTGTTCCCCCAGCACTGGGAAGACCCTGGCAGGTCTTATCTCCAAGATGGAGCATGCGGGCGGCCAGCCTCCGCAGCCACTCCTGCCCTTGCACCATGCATACAAGCCACGATTTACATGATGGTTCTGCATCCGGTGCTTTGGGGATGCAGATTTGGAGACCCTGGAGCAGGCCACAGGCTGCCTAGCGGGGTATGTCCAGCGCAGACTGGAGTCAGACCCATGCAGTACAATCACAGGTTTATTTGGGTCCATGACACCACAATGCTGACAGACAAAGCAGAGGGCCTTCTAGAATCCAAAGTGACTTTGCAGGAAAGAAGTTACGAAGGTGGCTGTGCAGGATTTACAGCACTCCTTCTTTAGTCTTACTTTCTCCTTTAAAGTGTCCCCGATTTCTCACCTCCGATTCTGTAGTAATTACCAAAACTTTAATTGCTGGTCTTTGAAGAGCTATGAAAAATAACAACAACAACAAAAAATTTAAAAATAAACTTCTGGCTGGGCACAGTGGCTCATGCCTGCCCTCCCAGCAGCTTGGGAGGCAATAGGATCACAAGTTCAAAGCCAGCCTTAGCAACTTAGCGAGGCCCTGACTCTAAATTTAAAAAAGGGCTAGAGATGTGGCTCAGTGGTTAAGTTTTTCTGGGTTCAATTCCTTGTACCAAATAAAATTTACAAATAAACTTCTGACTGAAGCGTTTTGTAAAACGTGGATCTAACTAACACGCAGGACATCTCTTGAGACTCAGACCTGTGTGTCAAGAGGGTCCCTCTCTAAACAGTGACTGTGCCTCCTTCCTGTGTCTCTGGCTGTCCCAGGTCTCATGAACTGGGCTATCTACAAGCTGGAAAGAAGTGAGGTGGACAGAGGGGTTGGGGTGACAGATGGGGACCTAGCAAAAGCTTGATGAGTTGCCTAAACCTGAGAATCAAGTGTGTGTTTAGGTCTCTCCTCCAGACTTCTGAATAATCACGGGCACTGGGCTTTCTTTTTCTTCTTCTTCCACAGAAACATGAGTCTGGGGGCAAAAGCAGAAATAGCAACAGATAAGCTCTCTTTTCCTCTTCAGAACAGCACAAGGAAGAACATAGCCAACATGATCGCTAGCAATGACCCAGAGAGCTCAAAAACCCCAGTGTAAGTGTCTCTGCCTTGTGGGTGGAGAGCTCTACCAGGGGCACGTGGCCACACAGAACATCCTGCAACAAGCTCATGCACGCGGGAGGCGGCTCTCTGCTCTGGGAGTACCAGGCAGTTTCTCTTGGGAGGCCCCATTTTGACAGTTTAAAGGGCCTGAATCCCAGCCCTGGGTTCTTTCCACGTGCCCTGGGGTCGTGAGCACTCATGTGAGGGCCTTGTGGAGCAGGCTCCAGGGATACTGTCTGCCCGTGGCCAGTGCTGTCCCTGCCCTGCTAGCCTTCTGCTGAGCCGCAGTGTCTGTCTGCCAGGCCCGAGCGTCACCATGGGTGGGTCTCTCCCTCAGCTACTGGGCCTTGTGCTGGTTCTGGGGCATCTGGGGGTGTGGGAGCTCCAGCAGGCTCTCTGAGGTCCACCTGTCCAGACATGACATGAGCCCGTGGTCCTGCCATCGCCCTGCCATCACCTCCAGGGATACTGCCTTTGGGAGCCCCACGTGGGGGCGGGGCCAGGACTACACTGAGCTGGCCAGGCCTCGGTGGCCGCCTGCTCTAGGGTGCCCACTGTGTGTCCACACATCCTCCAGATTCCCCGTCAGGGAGCCACCTCCAAGTGGCTGAGCGTCTCTGTCTCTCCCCCTCTGCTCACCGGGTCCCGGGGAGCACTGACCTCACCTGCCTACCTGGATGGGGTGGGAGGTGGGGCGGAGAAGGCCAGGGGTCAATGAAGCTGCTCCCCCCACTCGAGAACTCCGTTTCAGCCAGGCACCTGCTGAGAGAGAAGGGGCAGAGAGAAGAGCTTGGTCTGCAGCCTGAATTACCCCAGGTAATAAGGGTAATTCTGCTGGCCGAGCATAAGGGCCAGCAGAACGCAGGCCTTGGCAGTGTCCCCAAAGACTCCCTTCCTCAGCCACTGCACTGAGGGCCTCTGAGGTCACCAGGCCCTCTCCCATCGTCTCCCGTGGGACCTGGGACTCTGCATGCCCTGGGTCACAGCCCCAGAGAGGCAGGCGCAGCATAGGGGGCTAGTCAGCACTGTCTCCTCGCCCCTCACTCATCCTAAAATTCAAAATCAGAGGAGCACTCAAGGTCAAGATCGTAGGTAAGCTTTGGAAGATGATGGCAGGAAGGAGAGCTCCTGGCTTCAGAATGGAGCCACAGACCTGGGAAAGTGCCGGCAGCCGCTTTCTAGCCTCCAAGTGTCTTGGACTCTGAGTTCCCAGGAGTGTCCAGGGGACCTGGTGGATGCTCTCAGCTCCAGGGACGATGGAAACCCATAAATCCTGATGCTGATGCATAATATGAATGTATAAAGACTTCATTGTTGTTTGTCGACACAAGGTCAAAAACAGCAAAAATCAATTATATATGCCAATTAATTACAGGTGGGTGGAGCAGCTAAAACTCAGTTGTGCCTTTTTTCCTTTTCTTGATGCCCAGGACCATAGAAAGGATCTACCCATACTATGTGAAAGCACCCAGTGATTCGAACTCAAAACCTATAAAGCAGCTTTTGTCTGGTAAGAATGAGAGGTGGCTCCAGAACTTTGCATTTGACTCTTATTTAGCTTTATCAGTTGCCTGTTGAGCCTCCATGAAGCTACTTTCCAGCAGTCCTTCCCTGTGTGGTAAGAACCACAGAACCTTGTCCACTCTGGCTGGCCAGGGAATCATTTGTGCACCTAGAAGCCACACCCTTCATTGCCCTTGTTGAAGATACAAATCCTCTTTGGCTTACGTCCATGTTTAGTGAGTTACTGGCCAGCCTGCACATTCTTTTCCAGAAGCACCCAGATCTTTTACAAGTTTCCCTCGGACACCGTTAGGTAGGTCAGTCCCTCCCATCAGGGACAGTAAGGAGTCCTCCACTGACCCACGGCTAGTGAGCACCAGGAGCACTCCAGGGCCTGGGGTCCAGTGTAACGCCCTGTGGAACCTGTCATTAGGCGACCTTCACACACCACGTGACACGTCAGTCACTGCAGACACATGTTTCTGACAGTGTGCACGTGGCCCAGGTGTGTGGCAGGTTGCACGCCCAGGTTGGTTAGGGCCACTGGACGATCACTGCAGTGAGAAATCAGGACGTCTCCTGGTGCTGAATGGTGAGTGACTGACTGCATTTCAATAATGAAGACTCGCTTGACTTAATTACCTACAGCAGATCAACCTGGTGGAGGTGCACAGTGTACATGTTCGCTGTCACCACTGTGTCACTCACTGTGCGCCAGGCGGGGTGCTGGGTGCTGAGGCCAGGCTCATGCTGCTAGTAGTTAGCCAGAAGGCAAAGCTGACGTGAGCAGTTGGAATCCCACATGGAGGGCCCTGGTGAGGCAGCAGTGAGGCCCAGGGAACAGCTGGACTCTGCCTCCAGGTGTGAGTCTGTGTGCAGCAGCCCCCCCCCCCCCACTTCCAGGGCGGATCTAGGCTGCAGGGGTGCGCCCAAAGCTTCCTCCAGCTCCTGGGGTGTGCCTTGTATTTCACAAAGCCCCTTCTTGGCCCCGCCCTGGCCCCTGGGCTCAAGAAACATGTGTCCTCTCTATTTTTCCAGGGCGGCCCCTTCCTGTGCCCATGTCCCTGCCCACCTCCCTTTCTGCCCTTCAGCATGGTTGAGCCCCCTCTTATTTACCTTTCCGCCCCTAACGCTGGCTTCTCTGCCTGTGAGTGAGTATTGTCAGCACAGGAATACTTGGCATAGGTTTACCGTCATCACCAGTTACACGTGAGGAAACAGAGGATCAGAGAAGCCATGCAGCCAGCTTGTGGTAGAACTAGACCCAGACCTGGAACCTGTTTCCCCAGTAACTGTCTCTGAACTTCAGAACCAATATTATTCCTGTTCCTGAGTGTTCTGAGTGGTTCACCATCTTCTTTGATAAGGACATTGGCTCTTCTAGTGTCCTGCCATTGCTGACTCTTCTTCCTTCATCCATCTGTCCATCCATCCATCCATCCATCCAACCATCCATCCATCCATCCATCTGTCTGTCCTTTCCTCCATCCACCTGTCCATCCACCCATCCATCCATCCTCCCATCCATCCATCTATTCATCCATCCATCTTCCCATCCATCCATCCATCCATTCACCCATCCACCCATCTATCCATCCGTCTGTCCATTCTTCCTCCATCTGTCCATCCACCCATCCATCCATCCATTCTTCCATCCTTCCATCCATCCATCCATCCTCCCATCCATTCATCCATCCTCCCATCCACCCATCCATCCATCCATCTGTCTGTCCATTCCTCCATCCCCCTGTCCATCTATCCATCCACCCATCCATCTCCCCACCCACCTATCTGCCCATCCACCCATCCACCCAGCTAGCCAGCCAACATTGCCTGCCACATGTGTCCTGGACTCCTGTGATCTAGAAACTCTGTGAAATCATGCAGTTGCAGTTCCTACCCTCACAGAGTGCACAGCTCACCACCCTGTCCCTCAGTGGAGCCGCCATTGTGCTGGGCAGCAGTGGGATCTTTTTAGGGAGATCTGTGCAGTGTGGCTCCCAGCTCCTTGCCGGCTCTGTCTTTTACTGCTCTTTCGCATCCACTGTCTGCCCAGCGGAAGCAGTCACTGACCATGTTTTAGGGGCTTCAGAACTCTGCAGAGCTGGTGCCATTCGTCCTTTCTCCCCACCTCTCTCGACCCAGTGAGGTCTTACTGAGCAAAACTCAGCCCAAAGTCATCTACTGGAGGAAGTGCCCACGGATCGTACTAACCAGCAGCAGTCTCCCCAGCAGACAGACCTGGCAATGCTGGACCTATGGTGGTTGCCCCAGGACCGTAAATTGTGCCTGCACATTGTCTTTACCCATAAGATGAAGAACAATTCTGTATGCAGTTTTGCAGCCCTAACTTCCTGGGGCAGTCAGTACATGCTGGTGATGTGAATGAGTCACCAGTTCCAGCACAGCCAGTATCTAGGCCTCTAAGTGTCCCCTCAGCCATTTGGGGCGGTCAGCACCCTGCTTAGGCAGTGGATCCCCCATTTCCCTGTGCTTGGGCCGCCACACACACAGCCATGACTGGCCTCTCTAGCTGAGAAAGAGAACCTACTCCTTTCTGCTCACATTGTCAAGTGTCCCTAGGTCTCCATCCTGGAGCCACAGGCTGCCCAGAGTGCCCCAGTTTTGCCATCTGAGAACTGTTGGTGTATCAAATCTTAAAACTCTCACATTGACTTTATTTTGTTTTCCTTCCCTTACAGAAAACAATTTCATGAACATCACCATCATTCTGTCCAGAGACAATTCAACTAACTCCAACAGCGAGTGGTGGGTTCTCAACCTGACAGGAAATAGAATCTATGATCAGGAGTCACAAGCTCTGGAGTTGGTGGTCTTCAATGACAAAGTCAGTCCCCCCAGCCTGGGCTTCCTGGCTGGCTACGGGTAAGGGTCCCTTTCCCAAAGAGCCGTCATAAGAGCCTAATTCCTAGCCCATGGGGTCCAGGGCACCACACCTGTTCTCTTCTGAGGACTCTCCAGCTGCGGGGCGGCTGTATTAGAAGATGGACATGCTGGCCCTTCATTTAAAATGGAGGGAACCTGAGGCCCAGAGATCACAGTGCCTGGTGTGACTCCCGTGGCCATGGCATGTGGCACCTTTTCTCTGTACCTTCCTATTGTGGCACACTTTGATGCTGTTTAGCATTTGAGTTTGGGATCGTGCATAGGGTTCCCACTTTTCTGCTTTGGTTGCCTCCAGCTTTTGGTAAAACATCCCAGTTTTAAACAGATTTGAACCATCTTGTTATTTTCTCATGGTTAAATCCCAAGGAGGCTTATCCCCTGCAATTCAGCAAAATGTGTGCCATTTCCCAATGAGCCTCACAGGAGATGATTTCCCACCTGGACCTTAAACAAACAGGATCTCTGAGAAAGAAATGGTAAAGTGAAAGGAGCTAGTTTTAAAAAAGGACATGAAGCTCAACTGCATTTCTACCAACTTTATCATGTTCCACCAGATCCATCTTGTCACATGTCTGCTGACCACCGCTGCCTGCTGACGTGGGTGCTCCTCACGGGGTTGCTTTTCTTTTTCAGGATCATGGGACTGTATGCCTCAGTCGTCCTCGTGATTGGGAAATTTGTCCGGGAGTTCTTCAGTGGGATCTCCCACTCCATCATGTTTGAAGAGCTTCCGAATGTGGATCGAATCTTGAAGTTGTGTACGGATATTTTTTTAGTCCGAGAGACAGGGGAACTGGAACTAGAAGAAGATCTCTATGCCAAATTAATATTCCTGTACCGCTCTCCAGAAACGATGATCAAGTGGACAAGGGAAAAAACAAACTGAGACCGTGGGACCCAGACTGCGGGTAATGTGAACCTTTGGATTTTTTAAAAAAGCACAATACTCTCCTAAGAGCTAAGTGTTTCTCGTTCCAGGAAGTGGCTTCTCTTCTGATGGGCGGCCCAAGGGGCTGACTTCCTCCTGCCGCCGGGCCACCTTGCCAGCGAGGCGCTGCTAAAGAGGTCATCTGCAGTCCCCTCTCTGAGGTCAGGGCTGCGATTTGGCTGTGGTCAGCAACATCTTGCGTTCTGATGGACCATGTGAAGAATCTCCCAGGTCCCTCCCCTCAGAGAAAGGCCAGTGCCTGTCCTGTGCCCAGGCTGTACCTGCACTGCAGGGTGCTGCGTGCCCCTTGGGCTCATGTGGCTGGGCAGCGGCTGCAGGAGACTGGGCAAGCCTCAGCACTGCAGCTGGGCAGGAGAAACAGGAGGCAGAAGGCCCAGCCTCGTTCCCAGGGGGCAGGGAGGGGAACCCAGGGCCCCAAGGACACGGAAGGGTAAGCCCCATTCTAAGCAAAAAGATCCCATTAGCCATACTCTTACTGCCTTATCTAACTGAAGACTGAAAAGAAATCTTCCCTTGGAACACCAGTGACGTCTCAGGAAAACAAAGCAGCAAAACAAGCCAGGGGCACCTGCTCTGCCGAGTCCAGCAGAGCCCTCTGCAGTGTGGCACGCACGAGCCCAAGGGTCCCTGCCCCACCGCACAGCAGGCCAGCCCAGTGGGTGTGCAGCACCCTGACTTCTGACTCCGCCACGCCTGAGGTCACCACGGTTCCTGGTTCCTCCGCCCCCAGCACGCTTCTCCCATTTCAGTAATTCGAGCAACCGTTTTCCAGTATGTGACTTTTTCCTTCCTGTTTTTCAGGCATATCAAAGAGTTTACATATTCCAATTCACATTTTTACATCTGAGACGGGTTTTTTAAGTTCATAATTATGAAAGAAATATGTATATTAAGCTTGGGGAAATTAAAATGGCCTTTTCTTAAATTATCATCCTTGGTGATACATCCTCTCCACAGAGTAACAATGTAGCATGAAAAGCTATGACTGAGTGTAGTCTGCATTCCATACTAAAACACAGTTTCTGAGAAAAACCATTGAATGGGTAGAATATGTCAAAAAACACGATCCTGTGTAGTTTGGGTTCAGGGCTGACTTAAAATAAAGCACATCTTGCAAAGTCATCTAAAGATACTTTTTATTTGTCTTTTTTGCATGAAATAGTGGTTATTTTCAAGAATATACAAAGATTTTTTTAAAAAACTGAGATAAGAAACTGCTTCTCCTAAGTTTGGTTTGGTTTTTCATGCCTGTGCTCTGTGTGCATGAAACAGGAACACGTGCTAGCAGTAATTTGCACAGAGGAAACTATGAAATTGGATGTGAAGCTTTAAAATAATAGCAGATTTCATGTGCTGCCCACCATTTTCTAGAGGATTGACATCTCTCTGTCATGCTGTGAGTGCCGGCAGCTTCTTCCCAGTGGAGGTACACTGCCGCAGTCTGGCTGGGCACAAATGCCGCAGTCTGGCTGGGCACACAATCACGAGCCACCACACAGCTTGTAGATTCAAACAGCAACTCTTTATTCCCGAACTCACACCAGCCGTCTACAATCACGTTCTGGGGAAGTCCACGTTCTCTGCCCAAATCCACGTTCTCTCCCAAATCCACCTCCACTGGGCATCTATCTCCAAAATATACTGTCTGAATCACGTGAGAACTCAAGGGGAACTCAGGCAGCAGGATACGCCCTATTCCCAGGAGGAATAATCTTAAACCTTAAACCTGGAACCTAAACTGGGAACGCCCTAAACAGGATTATCTTAAAACCGGGAACACCCTAATCTGCCTTGGTCCTTGAGCAAGGTCACCTACATTCAATGTCGCTGCAACATGTCAGCAACATGGGGTACGCTGGCAAGGAAATTGTCATACCTACTTGGCTAATGGCTCCCAGCAGTACACAGCTTCTATCATTGTGATATTAAATGCAACCCACTAGGTGGAAGTCGGTTACATTCTCATTTCCCGACAACTGGAGGAATCGGGTTCTCGTATCTGCTTGTGGGTTCTTTCTTTTAGGAAAGTCAACAAGTGGCCAGGTACGGTGGCTCATGCCTGTCATCCCAGCAACTCAGGAGGCCGAAGCAGGAGGATCGCCAGTTCAAAGCCAGCCTTAGCAACTTAGCAAGGCCCTAAGCAACTTAGTGAGACCCTGTCTCTAAGAAAAATATAAAAAAGGGCTGGGGTGTGGCGCAGTGATTAAGTACCCCAGAGTTAAATCCCCAATTACCAAAAGGAAAAAAAAAGTCAACAAGGAATTTCTGGAAAGTAGATGTAACACATTCAAAAAACAGTAGACACGGAAAATTCTCGGGAGAAGACAACTAAAGGTCAAGGCTGCCTGAATTAAAGTATTCCTTGGGGAAACCATTTCCCTAGTTCAAGAAGGAGCCTCCAGGTGCATAAGAGGGCAATGCTTTACTCTTCCTTTTCCTTTTTCTGTTTGCATTGCTGGAGAAGGAGTCGGGGCCTCAAGCCCTCTGCCAGTGAGCTGTGCCCTGCTCAGAGGGCAAATGTTGAGAGCAGCCTTGCTGAGCAGAGAGCCCTCCCTCCAGGGCGGCTCGCTGGGGTGGGCACCACAGAGATGAGAAGCAGCCAGAGCCCGACTGGGAAGCCCAGCCAATGGGTCCCTCACCCTCCTCGAGCCCCCGGACCCTGGAGCTTTCAGAAGCACTCTCAAGATTAAAGGCCCCTGCCTCAGACACATAGAGGCCCCCTTACCAAAGCAACCTGCTGCCCTAGATTGGGTTCCAGAAGGTGCGCTCAGGGATGAGGAGCCAAATGAGGACTTTCTGGGCAGTGGACCCAGGAGCCACCCTGGTCAGAGAGGAAGGCTGTGTTCTGGAAATCATGCTCAGTAAGAGACCAAGCACCACTGGAGGGTTGGAGACTCAGGTCATCTACACCGGCAGACCCAGATGAGCTAGTGCTCTGAAGTCCTGGCCCCAGGCTGAGTCACATGGGGCTTTTACAGTAAATTCGACATCATTTCTTAACCGTTACAACGCTGGTGGGTGTGAATTCTTGGCCTACAGGACCAAGGACCTTGCACAGGGAATTTAGGAGAAGTAGTTCACAGGTGCCAAACAAAGACAATGCTTCGTGGCGAAGTGGCCTTCACCCCAGGCAGTGGGAACTCAAGATGACTTAGGTTTGCCTCGTGTGAGCTGTGTTTCTAAGAATCGAGCCTAGGAGGTTACAGATTAGACAGCTGGTGATTGGCCTAGCAATTGAATGATGAGCTACATTCCTATAGACCCTAGGCACTTTCAAAGCATAAGAAGAAAGGACCCTCTACAGGCCCCTGTCTGCCTTGAAAACCTGTCACAGGGTGTTCACATTTCAAGAGAGAGACTCCTGGAGAAAGGATCTACAACCCGATAGATAGGGCCCGTGGTTAGTTAGGCTCGGAAGAGAGGCTGCCGCTGGGAGGGGAGGTTAGCCTTCCCATGTTTGGCTCTCCATCGAGACGTTTTATGATTTCATTCTATAATCAGGTCCGCCTCCTCCATCCGCAGGACCAAGACAGGGAGATGTAGTAGCTGTACGGTGCCCAGTGGCAGGAGCCTGGCAGCGGTGCTGGCCCTTCTGCAGTCCCAAGCTATGCTGTGGGCATCCAGATCCCACATCAGCAATTCACTCCCAGCCATCCCCTGCCCACGGGGACTTAACCCTGGATGAGGCAGCCCACTGTGGCTGGGCTCTGAGGTCAGAGGGTCTGGTGGCTGCAGAGGCTCAGCGTATTCTGAATATGCGTGAAGGGAGGGACCTCAGGTGGGCAGTGCCAACCCAGGCGCACCTCAGGGACGGAAGGATCCTCTGCAGAAGTTCAGGATTTCACACCTCACCCCAGAATCTGGCTTTTGTGCTGGGTGGCCTGGTTGTCCCTACTTATAATCTCACAAGAGTGATGATCCACCAATCAGCTCACGTGCACAGACTAATGCTTACACGTAGAACAGAATATAGAAAAGGTCCCCATGCAGTCAGAGTTGGCTTGGGATTTCAAAGGCTTTTCTGACGCAATCAAGATGAGAGCTGCCCCTCTGCCCCCGCCTCCCCTCCTTACGTGCCCTGCCAGTACCAGGGCTGCGGAGCGCCAGCTGCCAAAGGAAGGACCATCCCCCACCACGTGCTCCACCCACTGGAGAAGCCAAGCCCAGGGTCCCTCTGTGGCTTGGGCCACTTGGCTCTCAACTATGCCAGGAGGGCACTTTGCCAGGTCACTGAGATGGCTGGCCACCAGCCTGGAGTAGCCGCAAGGTAAGGAGTAAAGGGGTCCATTACCTTCTAGAACGGTAGTATCTCTGTTCCTGACTCTGGTGGAATGGCCAGGAAAACCTGTGATGGGGGCCCTTAGGTCCCAGCTTCTGTTACTGCACTCTCGCGGATGCCACTGTGGAAGTTGGCGTGGGAACAGGCCCTGCGAGGTGCTGTCTGTGGAGTCCTCAGTCACTGCTCAGAGAAAACCCAAGGGGCAGGAGCTCCTCCCCATCTGCCCTTCAGGGAGACTGGTGGTTTGGCACGATGCCCCATGCAGCAGAGCCAACAGTCACAGTCCCTAGCTCAGCCTCAGGACCACACACCGCAGAACCAGATCCCCAAGTCCAGCCACCTCAAGCCCACACAAAGGGGTACCTGAAATCCTGATGAAGATCTTTCCCAAGTTACGCTTTGGGTCTGGGATGTCCCCCAAGAGCTCACATGTTGAAGGATTGGTCCCCAGTGAAAGAGTGTCCAGAGGCATGCTTTCCAGAAATGATTGAATTATGAAGACTCTGACCTCATGATTCATTTGATAGATTAATCCATTTGCTGGATTAATAATCTGAATGGACTAGAAGGTGGTAGAGACCACAGGCAGGTGGGGCAGGGCTAGAGGAAGTAGCTCACTGTGTGTGTGCCTTTGGGGACTCTATCTTGTCCCTGGTTCTCCTCTCCTCCCCTCTCCCCCCCACCCCGTCCCTCTCTCTGTCCACAGCTGGTCTCTCTTTGTATGATGTGGGCAGGCTGTTCCCTAACCCTGAGCCCCTGATCCGTGGTGCTTAGTGAGAAGGCCTCTCCTTGCCATGACTGCCAGTGCCACTGTCTCCTCCCAGACGCACTGTCTCTCTGCTCTGTGTCCTGGCTACCATGAAGTGAACTGTGTTCCTTAGCCACACCCTTCCACCACGATGTTCTGCCCCACCGCAGGTCAGAGCAATGGAGTTGGCTGACCATGGACG